CTCGGGGGTGTATCTCATTAGGAGAGACCTTGACAATATGAAATTTAAAATGAAGCAAGAAATTTTAAAGTAGATGTTTTCAACGAATTTTTTCCCCATGGAAAATGAATTCTGCAGACTTACAAATATTCATTAGTGCTCTAGATTTTTAAGTTAAAATGCAAGGACGATGAGACTTCTAGTAGTAAGAACAACGTACTCCGAAAAGTTTCGGGTTTTACTGTCATTGTAACAAATTTGATTAACTTATGATGCCGTATGTCCTTCGGATGATAATATTCTTTTGATTTCTTTATAAATAGAATATTTTTATACCTTAATAAAAGTGATTTGCTATTGTAAGGTAGAGAGCAATGCATATTTTTGCCTAGTTTTTAGCACTAACTGAATCTGCTAGAGTATATTTTCCTGTTTCAGAGCATAACTATATCCTTATGATCCCAGAAGTCTAACAAGAAAATCCTAACATATCCTCTGCTTTCATTTGTTTATATTTCCGATTTTCTGTTGTTAATGATTTTGCAGGATTTGATCTAGTTCTAATTAAATCGATCGCATTCATTGAAGGGATTAAATTTTCCGTGAACCAACAGATTGTGAATGTGAACACAGTTGAGCTATTTTCTAACTTTTCCCAATGTAAGTAAATGTTTTATGATTTCTTCAATTAACAGAGTTTTGTTAGTATGAATATTATAAACATTGATTATGTAAAATACAATAATTTTACGTCATTGTATTACTATACAGTTTTATTTTAATTACATAATTATAATTTTTTTATTTTATTTATAAGAAAAAATATATTTCCTCTTCCATTTACTTAAAAAGATGCTTAATTATGAATGTAATTATTAGCAATTAGTGTTACATTTATGCTGAAAGACATTTTTAGTACAATTATAGTTAAAATTGTTTTATTTCCCTCTGCTATGCAGCGCGTGACAAATTTTAAGAGAACGCTACACCAGAAAAGTAAAAATACAAGAGCACTTGCATTTAATATTGAATAAAGTTTACCTCTGTAATTGATATTTAATTTGAATAAGTAAATTGAGTACTATGGTAGCTATAACCATAATTCTACACTTTTTGCTTTCCAGATATTGCTAGAACTGCCTCGTACGGCCGATTTAAAAAAAGACATAAAAGCCGGAGAGAAACATCTCAGATCTGTAGTTTACGTAGTTGTTGTTGTTGATTGTAGCAAAATGCGGTGAGATTGGATTAGCTTTCTCTGCGCTTTGGATTGCTTTCTATATATTTTCGCACTTTAAAATATAACTACTGTAAAAATATATAAATAATAAAATATACTATTGTAAAAATATCTTTGAGGAAAAAATGCGTTTTGTTATGTTATTTGCGATGAAAATCAATTTTATTAACTTGAATATGTCCATATCAAAGCCAAAATAGGAATTTGTTTTATTACATATTTCCTGTTTTGTAAAACGTTCACGAATTTTTGATTAATAAACTCAACAATTTCAAAGCGAGCAATGGCAACACGGTATGCAAAAAAAATTCGTATCTCCAGGGCACAAGACTGTGTATCAGAAAATGTAAAGATAGGCTGTTTCTAAATATTTTGTGATATTGTAGTTGACTTGAATTTTGTGGTGTAAGTGCGAAGAGAATGATATTTATTTAATAAAGATAACATACAAAACGATAATAAAAAGACACTTTGGGCTTAATATAAAAGGTGAAACTTTCAGATATTTTTTGAGTTTTTATACATTGGAATTAAACAGTGTGTTTGTTTATTAATTATTGATTTTTTCATACTTTTGACGCACTTTATTGGTTTAAAAATTGGATTATTTTTACTGTGGTGTTACGTAAGTATCTCATTTTGCTTCGTGAATGTTTTGGGCTTTACTAAAGCTTTAATTTGACTGGAAAATTTATTTTATGTTTTCCGCCCGAAAGCGGTATTAAGTTTATCGTACTGCAGAGTTTGCGTAAACGTCAAGCTGAACTGTTAGTAACTGTTTCTCTTACAGCTACATATGAGTTTGTCTTCAGTATAGTTCAGAGGATAAAGTGCAAAAGGTAAGTTTAGAAGTTAAGTGACGATATGCTATTTATCTATCATTAAGAAGCTGGCATTTAGAATAGTTTAGAACCCGTACAGGTATACTAATACTACTAATACTTACTGTTAGTTATTAAATTCAACATTATTTTTTATATTATTAATATTATTGTTACTGCACATTTTATGGTGCTTAATTATTTAATAACGCAAATTAATTTGTATAGGTTCTGATATGGGCTGCAAGAAGTTGTCTTTGTTAATAATTATCCTAACTAATATTTTTTTTATTTTCTTCATGACTTCTTTTATTACTTATTTCCAGGCGTTATACGAACCTATTCATAAAAATATGTTCATTAATGATGTAAAAGAAAACTTGTCTTGTCAAATAGGCAAATAGTCATGACGTCTATTTCTGTTGAGTTGTAACCCATGCTAGTTTTATTGCAAATAAGGAAGCTGAGGTTTTGGTTAAGGAAGCCGTTTATGATGATACGTCAGTAATTAAGTCCAGGGGTCTCGAAGGGTAGCTTTTATTCAACTAAAATGTATTATTTCATTGTTTAGAAAAAGCAATAATAGGTGGATGGTACAGCAGTGATTCGAGTCGGCTGTGTCGTTTGGTTACTTGGGAAACATATCTTCAGAGAATATATATCCTACCATTTACATATTTTCTGTTGTAAAAAGTACAATATGTTTACAGAGGCTTAGAGCAGGGGTCTCGAACTAGCTGCGGCCATCGAAGCAATTTTAAATTTACGATAAACTGATTACGATAACAAGAATTTGGAAAAAAATAAGATTTTAATGGTCGGAGTCCAATTGACCATTATTTTTATACCGAAAACAGACGTGAGTTACGCTCGGAAAATTTTAGAAATGTAGCTAATTAATTCACACTGTGATAGCAATCTTATTTAAAGATTTGAAGATACAAATTTCATTAACTGTCAATAGTACTTGTCAAAATGTAGATATCCTCAGTTTTTTCGTTTTGTTCCCACGTTTCTAGCGTGCCTTCGTGGTGTAGTGATTTTGCACGCTGGACTGGTATTCCAGAGGTCCGTGGCTCGATTTCCGGCGAAGGCGGTTGCTAATTCTTCATCTCTTCTGTTTTTCCAATTAACCTAATATCTCCAAATGTTTGGAAACAGTTTTACATTCAAATTATTTTGTAATGTAAAGCTTTTTTAGCTGAAAAGTAATAACTCTGCGAAAAGAGCAAGAATGTCTATGGAAAACCTACAATTTGTAATGAAGATATTTTCTTGTAATATTCCTCGAAATATACATGCTTTATAAAACACGAAACGCTATATGGTGTTGTAAATGAAACGTGTAGTATGACACAACGATGTTTATTAATTGTTTACTTACGAATGTGTATTTTTCTATATGTCTCATAATAAAATATGACAAATATAAGAGAGGTGGTCTTCAGCATTATAAATTAACTAAGTTCGTTTCCTTCTTAGGAAATCTATTTTTGGTTCAAGTTAAAAGTTTCTTATTTGTTGGTTATTTTAAAATATCATAAATATTTTAATAAATATCAGTCTAAGAAGTTTCATATTTAGCTGTCATTATGCTTGCATTACAAAGTAAAAACCTTCCTTTTTAAAAGGGAATGATTCAAATTTTAAGCCAACATTGAACTGAATTCTTGTGTTACTAGATATATAACAAAACTTGAATTAGAGAACACACTCAAGTTACTTGGATCAAAGATTCCTGTATGATACACTATAATCTCCTAAGATATGCTTAGGAGCTTGTTGCACTGCTTGCTTTTCTAAGAACTGAGATATGTTTAGAACTTAGAAAAAAGTACAAACAAGGATAAAAGAAAGTAAAGTGTTTTTTCCTCGATAAATAGCCTAAATTTTTATAAAAATTAGGGTTAGTTACCTTTCAATTAAAACTTTTAAATGAAATATGGGAAATAAATGCTATCATAAGAACGTTTTTTGTGTGTCATAAAACTTTTTCGTGTCATCTTGGGCAGATCTTAAGTAAAAAATATCGAAAATTAAGAATTCATAACACTTCGAAAAAAAATCGATTTATATTTTATGAATATTTTCTTATGTATTTATTATTGCATTTAATAGTATCCAACTTCAAAATGTGGTTAATTAGGTTAATAATATATATGCGAAATTGAAGTCGATCGGCGAATAATCGCCAACAAAAATTGTCTTGCGAAAAATGGGTTTAAAGTTTCCGATTACTATTATTTTCATATTTAATAGTGGCATCAGTACCTTGGTTAATATTATTCAGAAAGGCGAAGAGAGAAAAATAGCAATGGGAAAGGAAGATCGAAGTGAAAAAAATATGTGTGACTTGGACGCACTGGGCTCAACAATCTTTGCGTTTATAAAAAACATGCTTTCAAAAATAAGATTAATTAAAACCATTCCGTGACAAATCATTAGGCTATCAAAAAATTTTAATTTTCTCCTAGCAATCAACTACTTAACATCAACACTGAACAGTAAACAGTATTGAGTTCCCTGTGTATGCTTTAACAATATAACATCGATAATAACACATCAAACGTTTTTCGAGACATATCATTGGTGAATTAAAACAAGGGTTGAACGTTGCACATGTTGTTTGGTCATTTGAATGTAAAGTATTATTCGATTTTTCAAAGAATCGGTATTTACGAGTATTCATAAGGAACTGCTTTGCAATGAAAGTATTGAAATTGAAAAACTATTGTTCATAGATTGCAAATTTAATTCATACATTCATATAGTTAGAACAACGTATTATGCACAAAAACTTGTTATGTTCATATACTCATCTGAAGGAATACAAGAATTTTCGAAATATAGAAGTGGAACATTTATAAGAAAATCGGAAAAAAAAAAAAAAAAAAAAAAAAAAAAAAAAAAAAAAACAAAAAAGAAAAAAAAAAAAAAAAAAAAAAAAAAAAAAAAAAGCATTTTAATTTGATAATTGTTTTATTTGAATCTAGACATAAATTTTGCAAAGAATATCGATTTCACAATCGTTTGTTAAATAGGGACTCTTAGCGAATATCAGGTATTCTTTGGATTTCACTATAGAGTGAAGTCTAATCTTGAATTTTATAGTAGCCTATTAACTTCACCATCGTGAGAATCAAGAATGCCTCGAAACGGAGCATCCTTCATCTGGCTATCTTGTGCTTCAGACGCTGCGAATATAAAATATCAATTATTAAATTAATGGTAATTGATGATAATGAAGGAATTCCAAAATGAGATGAAACTATAATAAAGGAACACATTCAAACACAAAAATTGGGAAGTAAATTATTGTCTTGCTTGCCTCATCTAATCAGAGCAAGTCCATTAATTTTATGACGGCAAGGAGCGGAAGTTTGTGTCTATCTTTGGATTGGGCCTTGATCAACATCCAGTTGACACTATGACTTTGCCTAAGTTTGACCATATTTGTTTTAAGATTATTTCAGAGAACAAGTCCATATATCTCCCACCTTCTACTCCTACTGCCAATCCATGCTAAAGTACTTTGGATTTGCCATGCCTTTTGACTGCCCCAAATCCGCGCAGGCACTATACGCTTAAATCTATTCACGCCTTCTCTGAAATATACGTCTGAGCCCTATAAACGATACAACAGTCAGGAGCACCAAACCACTGTTGCGATCAGGGCGCTGCATAACATTATTCAAGAAGTTGTAGAATCCACTTGCTTATTTTCTATGTGAAACTGTACGTGTAGTTAATTTCTTGTAGAAACTACAAAGGAGAAGGGTTAAAATTTTCCTTTATTAAACTCTTTAAATTTGACAATGCGTCAACCTGACGCTAAAACACTACGCTTCACTTGGGCGGTAACAAGAACTAAACTAAAATTCGAAGATATTTCACAAGTAGTAGAACTAAGATACAGGGCTCAGAAAACTCTTATTAACTAAATTCCCGTCGAAAGTAGTGGCAGTAATCAACAGTAATGATATAAGCTGTGATTTTTTTTCCATTTACATATTTAGTAATGTTTTCCGTTAACGAGATTACTGGCATCTCTCACTCCCTAGTTCAAAGGGCACTTCTCAAAGATGTGCTTTGCATCGCCGAGGATTTTGCAGCAGCAGGCACTGATCAGAATCTTGATAACCCAATCATTTTAAAACAGACAACTTTCTGCAGCCGGAATCGGAACATATCCGGGAATTTATTGTAAACTATTAAATTGTTAAGCACCATAAAATGTGGAGTAATAATAAAATAAATAACGTTAACAACTAACAATAATTATTAGCACACCTGTACGGGTTCTAAGCTACACTAAATGCCAGCTCCTAAAAGATAGGCAGAAGACTTATCGCCCTTAACATCTGAACCTTTGCCCTCTGAACTATAATTAATACAGTCTCATATGCAGTTGTAAAACAAACAGTTATTAACTGTTTATTAACAGTTCAGCTTGATTTTACATAAACTCTACAATAAGATATACTTAATAGCTGTTGCCTAGCAGAAAACGTAAAATTATTGAAAACGTATTAAAGCTTTGGTAAAGCTCAAATTATTCCCAAAGAAAATGAGTTACTTACTTAATATCATAGTAGGAATAATCAAATTTTTAGAATATACCAAAATATGGCAACTATGGGTATAAAATTCTTCTGTCAAATCATGCAGCCTTCATGAAAGCAACATAGCCAGTTTAGTGTGCGTTCGTTTTGTTGGATTCCGAGATCTAATGAATTTTACTGATAAATCGAGATGCTCTTTTACTTCAAATCAATTTTAAAATATCACCTCTAAATATACCAGCAATGGGAAGAAACGCGGCAAATGTAAGAATGAAACAAATTTATAATTAAAATCAGTAAATTAAAAAAATTAAGATTCATAAAGGGAAAAGGCAAAGCAATTAATTACGAAATGTAATGCATACATAAATCTATATCTATCTATCGATATCTTTTTCTGCACACACACACAGATATATATATATATATAATAATTACGTAAACGAAGAAGAAAATAAAGTAATTACTTAATATGTAGCATAAAATTAAACACACTTCACCATAATAAAGCAAATTTACTTACATTAAAGAGGAATAATATATTTTATCAAATTTTAGATAACGTAATAATCGAATAATAATTATACTTACATAATTAAAATAAAATTACTTTGTAAGTAATTGATATAAACATATGTGTAAAATAATAAAATCACGTACAATTACTGTACTTTTTAAAAACTTACTTTAAAAATTTTATTAGTATTCATATTAACAGAACTCTGTCAATTAGAGAAGTCATAAAACATTTATTTTTAGTGGGAAAAGTTATAAAATAGCTCACAACATGTTGGTTTACGGAAAATTTAAGCGCTTCAGTAAATGATATCGAGTTAACTAAATTAAATGCTGAAAAATCACTAACAAAAAATCGAAAATATAATATGATGCTAAACACAATACGTTAGAATTTTCTTGTAAGACTTCCGTGATCATAAGGTATAGTAATGTCCTTAAATAGGAAACTATGCTCCAGATTTAGTTAATGCTAAAACGAAGCAAAAATGTGAATCACTCTATAGCTTACAATGGCAAATCAATTTTATCAAGGTATGGAAATATTCTATTTATAAAGAAATCAATCAAAGAATCAATTTTTATTCAAACGAAATTCCGCATCATAAATTAATAAAACTTGCTAGAATAATAACAAGTCATCAAACGTTTCGCGCCACGTTGTTCAGTAAGCTGAACGCTGAGAGTAGCCACAATTATTTATTTGACACGTAATTTCGATTTACAGTTTCATTGTTTGTCGTCAAATATGTTTCCGGCGGCAATGTATTCCATCATGGGCAATGATCATTGCAATCGACTCAAATGCCGGATCCGCAGATATGTATCTCGTTGAAAGAGATATGTTTCCCTGCGTAGACCGCTTGGCGTAGAAGCCGCAGACTAGCAGAGATAATTGTTCTCCTTATGTAGACCGGAATCTATACTATTAAAATCTGTGCGGATCTGCCTTTTTTTTTTTTTTTTTTTTTTGGTGGCATTATCTCCTGCGGAACGACGCAGAGCTGAATTTTGAGAGAGGTGCCCAGCGGACTCCATTCGTGGTAGTCCATTTCGACCATTCTCACTTTTCTACAATTTTAATCACCCGAGATATTAATTAAAAACAAATTCGAGGTGAAAGGCCCCAGCTAGGAACAAAGATGGTCGTGCCCTGCAAAGTTCTCGTAGCAGACAAGACCAGAATAGGGCAAGGAGGCGGTACACGGCAAGGAAGATAGCCAAGGCCAACTCCAACGTGTAGTAGGAAAGCAGAGATTAAAAATCTCCAGTCTGTATAACTTCCCAATGGCTGAGTACCAAGCAACGAAAAACTAATATACGGTGGGTAAAAAAAGTATTTGCGCACCTACATTTTTGTTTGCAGTTCATAAAAAAGAAGCATTAAGAAATAAAAAAATTGGTATTGCCAAATCAGAATAAGTTTAATCATCCAAAACAAACGGAAAAATTACAATAATATAAATAACAATGTTTTTTGTAACAAAATTTAAATATCTCGTATCAAAAAAGTATTTGCACACCTGCATGAATACAAAAGAAATAAAATATATAAGCAAATTTCAAATAACTAATATTTAGTATGCATGCCTTTAGCATCTATTACTGCTTGTAATCTTGCTGGCATTGATTTAATTAAATTTTCTGTAACAGTAGGCTCAGTATTCGGTCACCCTTCAATAAGGGCTTGTTTAAGGGCAGATTTGCTTGAAATCTTCCTTTTTCTTATTTTTAAATCCAAAGAATTCCACAGATTTTCCAAAGGATTTATGTGTATTTTAATTTTAATTATGGCAAAGCACACTGGGGCTATCTGCCTAAGGGGAGGGATGCCTTCGTGGAGGACTTTCTAAGGGAAACTGGCTCGTATACACGTTACACATGAGGAAAACCACGAAAACACCCATGCAGCCAGCCCGTTCGCGGGATTCGAACCTCGGACCGAACTACCAGCCAAAGGATTTAAGTCTGGTGATTGTGGTGGAGCGGCAAGTTTTCTGGGTACATTATAAAGCAACCACATACGAATTATACCGCAGTGTGCTTGGGATCATTGTCTTGCTGAAAATAGTACGAATTACTGATACCCAATTTTATTGCATTTTGTGGCAAGTTATCTCGCAACACATCAATATAGGTTCGAGCTGTCATATTCCCATCAATGAAACACAAATTACCAATTCCTTTGCTAGCCATGCAACTCCAAATCATAACAGAACCTCCTCCATGTTTAACTGTAGGTAACACATTTTTGGTATGAAAAGCAGCACAAGGTTTTCTCCAAACTAATTTTCTGCCATCTGATTTAAAGATATTGAATTCACTCTCGTCGGAGAATATGACATTTTTCCAAAAATCGATTGGCTTATTGATATATTCCTTAGCGAATTCAAGTCTCTTTAGTCTGTTTCGTTCAGTTAGGAGAGGTTTTTTCTTGGTGATCTCCCATAAATGTGTGCATCGTGCAGGACATTTCGAACACTTTGGGCACAGATTTGAACTCCAGATGTTGAAGCGACATCATTGGTTAAAGTAATTGCACTAACAAATGGATTTTTTTATGCTTCTCTTATGATTTTTCGCTTCATTCGCAGTGGAGTGAAAGTTTCTTTGGGCGTCCAGAGCGCAAGTTATTTGATGTAGATCCTCTTTCATTTTATAACATATCCAAATAGTAGAGAAGCAAACATTTACTTTTTTTACCTATTTCTTGATAACTTAGGCCATTTTCACGTAGAGAAAAAAAATTTTTCTCGCAACGAAATCGGACAATTCAGATTTCTTAGGTGCCATTACAATTTGAATCGACAATCAACTGATAACGTTTCGACAACACCTCCTTTTATAGTCGTCTTACATATATTATTTACTGCGCGGGATGACTGTCAAATAATAGCATAAAAATGCAAATTTGCTAAGAGTTGAGTTGAATGTGCAAATACTTTTTTGACATAAGCTATATTAATATTGTTGCAAAAAATGTTTTTTATTAATATTATTGTATTTTTGTAATTAATTTAAATGAATAGGCTTATTCTATTTTTTAAATGCCAATTTTTGTATTTATTAATGCATTTTCTTATAAATTGTGAACAAAAATGTATGTGTGCAAATACTTTTTGTACCCACTGTAAGTGAATTTTTAAATAAATATTTTCTGTTTGTAAAGTTACATGAAATCCTTTCAAATACGAAGTTACATTGTAAAGTCAATTGCCTCACTTGAGGACTAAAGTAATTTTAGTTTTATTTGGCGAAAGCACAAAGCTACAGTGTATTCTAGAAATGTAATGTTTATGTAAAGAACTAGTAGTTTGGATTTGTTTGTCAAAATACGATTTATGTTAACACGCTAAAGGTTCTGGCCTGATACAAGCAGCTTCATAATTAGTACTTGTTAATGAAAATTTGATTTTCGGTTCGAACGTTTGGCGAAAAGGGGAAGTCAAGTAATTTTTATTTTGTTCTCTACTGCGGTAAAAATTATATGATTGTAAATTGTGAAAATATCTGTTTTGTAGACTAAATGATACTGCAAATGTAGGTTTAAATTTCAAAGAGCATATGTAATATCTATTTAGTACTAAAATTGTCAGAATGTAAAGAGTATGCATTTAAAACTTAATGTATTCAAAAGAAAATCTTGAAATGGCACAAACCAAAAATTAGCCAAGTCAAATCATGCGTTTTCAAGAAAGCTTGCATGTGGTTAAGCCCGAATATGGACAAAATTTTGTATTGCATGCATGTGCTTTTGTAGGGCTCTTCACCTATACTCTAGTTAATTTTCACGTTTGTTAGCTCATGGAGAATTAAGTAGTGAATTTAGGGTCTGGCTAAGGAGGTTCCTATGTGCTAACAAGTTGATGTGTGTTTAGGTGGAGCGTTTGTTCACATTGACATATAGCACTTATGTTTTTCACCGCACATTATGGAGAGCCAAAACGGCATTTATCTAAAGTAAAGCATGAGTGTGTAATGAACCGCAATGTTCGGGAAACTTAAGAAAACTACGTTAAACGCAAGAGGGTTAGAAACTCAATTAAAAGGATCAATATTTGTCAAAGTAAAGTATTATTTATTTTTTGATACGCACTTGTATTCAAAAGTATTTCTTCCAGATGCCTGGAAGGACAAGACTGAATGCCCTAATGAGCAAGTATAGGCCGATTGAAAAAATGTGACGAAAACGCAACTTACGATATATATTAGATTTATATTAGAGCATTGTTGTAATATATGTATCTTGACACAAAATCGGTCTATTTCTGGAACGACAAACAGAATTTTTTTTTCCATATTTTTATTGTACGACTCAAGTTATGTCTAAATATTATTTTTTTGGAAAGTTTGGTGAGAAATTTAGCGAGAAATTCAAAACTTTATATTAGAATTATTATTTTACAGTTTGCGCCAAGAATATTTCACTTGGCAATTTTCTTCAATTATGGTAACTTATTTTTCCTTTTATTTCCATTGTGCACGAGAAGAAGAAAAGGTGCATCGTTCAATCTTTCGAATAATTTTTTTTATATTATATTAATTTGGCCCACCAGCGGCCGAGCGGTAAAGTCGCTGAACACTGGTAGTTCGGTCCGAGGTTCGAATCCCGCGAACGGGCTGGCTGCATGCGCGTTTTCGTGGTTTTCTCCATGTGTACCGTATATACGAGCCAGTTTCCTTTAGAAAGTCCTCCATGAAGGCATCTCTCCCCTTAAGCAGATAGCCCTAGTTTGCTTTGCCATAATTAAATACAGCCACATTTATATTATATTTTTTAACCAAAGGTGTTATTTTTAGATAAATTTCTGGTTTTTGAAATTTCATTTTAATTGTATGAGTGGCATGCTTTCTTTGAATAATTATTTTAAAATTTTCTATATTCATTTGAAAGAAAAAAAAAGTAAAGAGAATTAAAAAAATAAAAAATTTGATGGATGTTCTTTATGGTTTAAAAAATAAATTTTCATACAGTATTAATAAATATTTATAAATTTTATAAAAATTGTGCAACAAATGCCATATAATTAAGTCTCTGCAAAAATTCATTTGGAAATATAAGGTTAAAAATAGGTGTAGCAATTAACTGAAGATATTAGTAAAATCCATAAACTACATTTGGCGTTATTATTGCTTAAAACAATGATGCCAAATTTCAAAACGCGCTAATGTATAAAGTAACATATATTTTAGTAAATTTTGAATACAAAAATGTATTTTTTGCAGGTATGCTTAGAAGTATATCTACTTTAAGATGATAGTAAAAACATTATGTGTTACAATCAGAAAATTATTTTGAAGAATTTATAAAATTTACCAAAAAGTATGATTGAAAAAAAAAATCAGAAAATATTTGCGAATTTATTTTGATTGAACATAATTTCGATTTGTGAAAGAAGGAAGCGGGTAAATTTAATAAAAATGAGATATTAATGAACATATAGCCAAATTTAATTAACACTGAGGAGGTAAAATTTTGAGAGCTTATTTCTTGAAAACTGCTCCTGAGATTTTTTCAAAACTAGGAACTTTGGTGTAATTCGAGTCGAAGAACCGAAATATACAAAAACCTGGTATTTTATTTCAGAAAGAAATCTACCTTGTGTCAAAATACCTAATACCTAGTATGTTTGGATAATGCTACATATAAATCTAATATATATTCTAAATCGCGTTTTCGAGACATCGAAGACACAAGATAAATTTCATCAGTCGGCCCAGGAGAACTGTATATATTGGGTGTATCAGTACAGCGGTGACAAACTTTCCAGAGAGAAGAGTATACCTAGAAAATTGGAAATCGAATAGCAATGTATGCTTTCCTGACGGGGTAATGACGACACAAAACGCAAAACGGAAGGACACACACAGTGAGGAAAAACTTGTTTTGTTATGTTTAGAACAGCAGAAATCTTTAAATCAGAACAAAACCAAACAGTGATCGTCATCAAAGAAGGTGTTTAAAATTCTGAAGAAGGTGTTCTGACAGTAATAAAAGTTTCACTTCTGTGGTGCATAGAAGATATGAATCACGAATGGAAGATGCATGACGCACAGCTCCTGGATCACGGTTCGAGTCGTAATTTAGAACGCCTTTGATGATGATCGTTGTCTCTTTATGTTGATTTTCTTTGTTTTTGGTATACTCCGAATAATATAGAGTGCAGTGTACTCCGAACATGTTTATTCTCCCCGTTCGTATCCTTTCTTTCTTCACTTTTGTGTCTTCACTACTACGCCAGTAAAGCGTTTCCGACCATGCATTGCTACGTGATTTCCCATCATCTAGGTGTATTCTATCTCTCCTGAAATCTTGTCACTTCTGTACTGATATACCCCGCATAAAAACTTGTTTGAGGTGCTAGTGTGCGCAGAGTGCACATGGACGAACACGTTGGAGACCCAGTGCTTTAAAGAAATCAATAAACTACACTGAGTCGGCTGAAAGCCTCATTTCGAAACTGCCCAACATTTCTCTGTCCTAAAACGGATACGTAAATCTGAAGCAACTTTAGCGTGTGTCAGCAAGGACCATAGTATCCTGTTATGACTATGAGCTGCTAATGGACTGAAAGGCGGAAAACATAGTACTTGAACATTACCCAATTTAAAAAAGAATGAAAAAGAAAAAAGTAATTGTTTCAAAAGTATGAAAATGTAACTCACCGGATAAAATTGCAGCCAGAAATGCGACGAGAACCATTAAGTGCACTAGGTAAGCTTCCATCGCAATGGTTTTCCGTTATTTTCTCGGCTCGGTCACAGTAGTTCTACGGAGTAGAGCAGAAATGATCGAAGATATGCGTATGTAGCACTGGAGAACTGTTGCGGTATTTATTGTCCAAGATGATGCATAAAATTTAATATCATGTTGAAGAAAATGATATACGTGAGTTTTCTTTGCAACAGCTGGACTCTTAAAATTGTTTGATAATTGTTTGCTCTTTTGTCATCGGATATGTGAGATGATTGGAGGTATGAATTGATGATGAAGCACTGCGGAACTGTTGTAATAGGTGTATCTCGGAAAAATACTTTGTTGTTTTGTTTGTTTGCTCTTCGATCAGGTATTTCGTGTTGTATTCCAGTTTTTTATTACGATGCGTAGAAAAAAGGGGAACAATTATTTTTAGAAATATAGCTGGCATTAAAATCGTTTACCAGTTAAAGATAAGATCTTAATTTTCGGGCAGTTCCTCCTGAGTATGATTTCAACTCGGTTATTTTTCAATGCAACAATTTCTCAAAATTCAAGATTATTTTGTTCATTAGGTCAAATTTAACATTTATGTATAACTTTTGCAAAATAATGTAAATGATAAGAGATATTTACGATAAACGTATGTTGTTTGCATTATGATAATAGGGTATTACTATACCTGGAAGTTTAATTAACTATTCTTCAAGTCCGTACTAGACTGTCAAGCGAGTTTTCGTTGCAATCTGAATTAAGATGACAAAGTTTGAAGAAGATTAAAATGAGTTTTTTTTTTTTTTTTTTTTTTTTTTTTTTTTTTTTGAACTCTTGAAATTAACAGATGGCATTGCTTGCTCTACAGCAGAAATTCCAGCACTTTCGGGTATCTAAAATAATACAAAAACGAAAGCTTAAATTAAAGTAGCATAGTCTTAAACTACACACAAAATAGTCTACTTAAGCTGGCTCAAGTATTTTTCGAATACTTGAAATGGAAAAATGGCTAAAGCTGGAATAAACATTGGAAGACCTGGCGACAGTATGTAATTGCGAACGAGGCAGTACCTCCACCTTTGAAACATTCAAATCCGCAGCTGAGTAAGTAAACTGCATTCTGGTAAAAACGGCTCAAAGAAGAAATTGTAGTAAAATTCCAAATTATAATACACTGTTGGCCATTAAAATTGCAACACCATAAACTAAAGCAAATACAAAAAAAGTTATTTATTGTACATAAAACATTACGGCATGAAGAAAAAATGATCAAACTTGTAAGCGGTCTGGATGTTTACAGGGTTGCGAAATTCTTAGAAACAGCTGCCACCCTTGGCAGCTTAAACGGTCCTTACATTACCCTTAATGGTAAGTCATTGAGTCTAACTGGGTTTGAACGAAAGAAACGGGCAACTCATTCATGCTACTTCAAGTCTATATCAAACTTCGTTAACCGTATTAGCTAGATAGGGGTGGCGGGCAGTTTCTCAGCAACCCATGAAGAGATGCTTTCAGTGGTTGACAGATCTGGGGACAGTGCAGATCAAGGCAGCAATCGAATACCCTGTGTGTCGAGGAAGGTCAGAACACGATATGCAACATGTGGTCTTGCATTATCTTGTTTGAAGATGGGGTTTGGCAGGCCTCGAAGATAGAGCACAACCCCTGGACGTAAGATGTCAGAAATGTACCGATCTGCGTTCCCGTCGATCCAAACTAGAGATCTGCGTGCCTTAAACCCAATGACTTCCCTAACTATCATACCAGGTGCAGGGTCCATATGCCGATATCAAATGCAAGCCGGTGAGGTGCGGTCTCTTCGAAGCCTTCAGACGCGTATACGGCCATCAGAATACTGCACGCAGAACCTGGACTCGTCTGAAAAGACCATATTGTGCCACTCCGTATCCAGCTTTGTAGTCCGGCGCACTAAAGGCTCCGTCTCGTTTTTTGCTGCATTGTCAAGGGAACTCGAAGTAATGGTCGCCGTGCTGATAGTTAACGCTGCTGCAGACATTAACACACCGTACTAGCGGATATTGTGCGTTCTGCAAACATACCCATTTCGGGTATGTGGTCGGATATGTGGCTGTCGTTGCTTTTCTCTGGCGTGTTGCCTGTCCTTGCTATTCAGGCTCGTGCCCAATTTTCGTTTCATGGCACGCTCTTCTATTCTTCTTGACTTCCTAGGGAAAGTATCCTCCGGAGGTGGTTTCTTTCTCCACTCGGCTCTTACATACGATGTCTGCGGGGTGATGCCGTGCGTTTTGCTGCTTGTTCCACATGGTTCGTTCTCTGCCGCTTGCTGGAGAACCCTCTTGTCTCTTTCGCGAACTGTAGTAGATTCCTTTTCGCTGACCGCTAGTGGTATTCTGGTCGCCCTGGTTTTGGTCGAACGTTGTAGCTTCCTTGCCGCTGACCGCTAATGGTACTCTGTTTGTTCTGGATCTTCGTCCGAACGTTGTAGCTTCCTTACGGCTGAGCAGTAGTGGTACTCTGGTTGCTTCTTTGTTTTCCGCTTCTCACCTGCGTTGGTCTTGTGCTTTTTGGCTGAGATCCTATTTGCTTTCCTCTTAGAAGCCGCATCTAGTAAATGTGTCCTGGTTGTAGCTGGCTGTTCTTGGCTTGGAACTTTATTTTGCTGTTGTACATGTTTGTACATGACGTAAGTGCAAAGAAAATGATACTTAATAATAAACCTAAAAAGACAAAAAAATGGGTGAGTAAGAAATCAGTGTAACAGCAGACTGGTGGACTGAGAGTTCAGCGAGAGCGTACAAATCTTTAACGAACCCTTTCAGGCGACCGTTATGATTTGAAATCTTTCAGATTTTTTTTTTTTTTTTTTTTTTTTTTTTTTGTTAATGAACTCAACGTTTTAAAAGCGAAAGATGGCAAGACCGTCCGGAAAAAATATTTGTTATCTCCTGCGCGTGAGCCTGTATATCAGAAAATCTAAAATTATGCTGTTTTTAAATATGATATGATTTTGCTACTGAATTGAATTGTATGTAGCATACGTGCGAAGAACATGCTATTTAATAAATAGAGTTGATGCACAAAACATTAATAATGAAGAAAGAAAAGATGTTTTGCAAGCCATGTAACTAAAGGAACTGTGATATAATGAAAGAATGCCGTAGGGAGAATTCTAAACATATGCTGCTGTTAAATGTTTTATAATTTTCCTGTTGAATTGTATATGGCGTAAATGCAAATAAACCGATGCTAAAAAGGCAAAAACAAAATGGATTAGCTGTAGTGAGTGCAAGGGCAGACTGGTAGGCTTCGTGCTAAGTGACAGCCGAAGGTTAGTTTAGGTTACACAATTACGGCAAAATTCGAGGGCTATCTGCCTAAGGGGAGGGATGCCTTCGTTGAGGACCTGAGAACCGAAGGAGGATTAACAAATCTCTCAACATTTTCTAAATTTTCTAAATGTCACTCACAATTACGAATCTCTATTTTGGGACTGTTTTTAAAACCTGTTAACAGTCTTACAAAAAATCTAGAATTTACTGTACAACCGTTCATTAGATAAGGGCAGAAAGCCGCAGTTCTATTAAAAAACCCTCTAATGAAACGAGGTTTTCAATTTACTAGGATAGTTTTGCACGCTTAGTAATTTAACGGACGTTTCACGACGATATGTTAGACGTGAAAACACAGCCTAATTCATATGTTCATTTAAATTCAATAAATAATATTTTAGAGTGTATGTATTCTTTGCAAATGCAAAGTTGTAACTTACAGTAGGCTTAACTTAACGTAATCATGTTTGTCCAACGTTATTTTCATAACATGAAAAAAATGAAAAAAATACAAACAATAATATATTTCATAAAATTAAACAATGAGATTATTGGATATATTTGCTACCATTAAACAATTAATTATTAGGCGCCATACTTCATAATATAAAAAATGATATTAAAAAGGGAGAAAATGATTTTTCAATATACCTGTGGAGCTTACGTAATTTAATGTAAATATAACAAAATAAAAATAAATAAATAAATAAAATCTGAAAGGTTTAAGATTTTAAATTTCGTCCAAAGGGGCGTTTCTTAAACTTTTTGTGTGTTGCATTTATTTATTAAATATCATGTTCTACGTACTTAAATCATAAAATTCAGTTTAACAGCAATATTGCAAATAATTTTAAAATGAGCATATCTTTAGGATTTCCGATACTTAGTTTCCCACGCTGGAGGTAAAAATATTCTTTTTTCGTACAAGTGCTGCTATTGCTCTCTTTGAAATCGTTGTGTTTGTTAATCAAAAATTCGCTATAGTGTTAAAATATGAAATCGATAATAACAAAATTCCAAATTATGGCTTCCAGATTCCTATATTCTGTCGAGGATTACGTTATTCAAAATTTGATGGTTCTAGGTACCGTTGTTTTATCACAATGCGAGTAACATGGATACATTTATGCACAATTTTCATTAATTAATTCCTTTTAATATGACGCAGGGGGATAATATTTGGTAACAACAACAAGAGCAAAAGTCTGAAAATAACATTATAAAAATAAAGTTTGAAAGTATAGCAACAGTTTGAAAAGTGAAACGGACATTTAAAGTTTTCAACGCAAAATGCGTAAACGAAATTAATAGTCTAAGCGAAATAATTAATAACGGAAATTAATATGCTTCTGGGCTAGCGCCTTTATGGGCTAAATTTAAGATTAAATATATAAATAGGTATTTTCACAGGATTTTAAATAGGAAAATGCAAAACGTGTTTATAAACCTATCAGAATATCTTCAATGTAAAATTTCATTCAAGAGCGGTAACATTTTAGTAAATATTTCATCGATGCTGCATCGAAATCTTAATTCTCGGAGGTGCATCTCATTATGAGAGAACTTGACAATGTGAAATTTAAAATGAAGCAAGAAATTTAAAAAGTAGATGTTTTCAACGAATTTTTCCCCCATTGAAAACGAATTCTGCAGACGTACAGAATTTGTTAGTGCTCTAGATTTTTAAGTTAAAGTGCAAGGACAATGAGACTTCTAGTAGTATAAGAAGGTTAAATGAGCATTTGGTTTAATTTGAGAAAGTATAATGTTATTTTCGCTAGATTACTTTTTTTCCAATCATAAACGTTACTTAAAATATGAATCTTAATAAATTGTTTTATCGGGACGATGCAGATTTAATACATAATTTTATAGTTTTTATTTTTGATTAATTTATATATTCATGGTATGTTTGTACAAATCATTTATTTGCACTAAATTAGCTTTGGAATAATTGGCCCAATATCTTTTACATGTCTGGGGTTAAGTGGATAGCTCAATTCATACCCATAAATTAATAAATGCTCCTTTGGACTGTATACATTCTTTTAATTTAAATTCAGTTCTTCAAAATGTTGCACATTTTATCTATAACTACGAGAAATCACGCCGGAGGGTCCTCGAGTTTATTTAGCACTCACTCTCGCTCGTTGTTCACAGTACTCTCACTCCTTTTACAAAATCTATGACCCAAGAGGTGCCCACGAATTTTTCTACTACGCAGTTATGCCGGAACATTTGAATTTCTGGATCTTATTAATTCAGGTGCACTTAAGGGCATTAATATCTGATTTCAATTTCTTCTCTTCATTGCGAGTCGTAAAAAGAGCAGTCAAATTAAAGGTGTATAAAGAGTAAGGTAAGTCACAAAACTTTTATTAGACGTGTTTCTTATTTAACAGTCATTACAACTACTAGGCAGAGGTCGTGATTTTGACCGCTGGCTTAGAGTATAAACTTTCTACTACGCAGTTATGTCCGAAAATCTGGATTTCTTGTTCCTATTTATTCACGTGCTGTTACGGGATTAATATCTGATTTCAGTTTCTTTTCTTCATTGCGAGTCGTAAAAAGAGCAATCAAATTACAGGTGTATAATGCGTAACGTAAGTCACACAACATTTATTAGACGTATTTCTTATTTAACAATCATTAATTACAGACGCATAACGAATACACTTTATGATCCATAATATTTTTAGACGTATTTCTTTTTTAACAAGCATTAGAAAATAATTTGTATTATAAACATAAGGCCCTAATGCCATTTCTGGGCCAACATTCGATATGTAACCCTCATAGTACGTGTCTTCAGTATTATACTTATGAAACACTTTGTTGCCAGATCATTTGGTACTTTCTTTCTTTATTAGAAGCTTCCAGCGTTTTGTAAATGTTTCCAAGATTATCGATAAATCGCCAGCGTAAAGCATCATCAATTGTTCAGCAGTCCTAACCAGCACCGTTTATAGTATGACCGTCACGAGCTCTCCTAGTAAACCATGTATTATCGCATTTTCTGTTTTTATAAATTCTTATTCAGTTCATTCATGGTGTTTCATTACAGATGGAATTCTGCCCTTCTGCCCTTGATTTTTAACCTACTTCCTGATATGCTATCGAGTTCAAAATTTGTGTCTGCATTACTAGTCGATATTACTAATATTATTCTGAAATTTATACTGCTTTAAAACGCATGGAGAACTCATAAATTTGAACTTTTCTTTGCGGCATTTTGATACGTTGATACGGAAATAGCGGTGAATAATTAATCGAAGATGTGAGATAAATATGTAGCATTGAAGAACACTTGTGCTATATAATCCAGTCTGTTTGATGTAATTTGACATGATGTGAAGAACATGATATTCATGAGTTCTTTCATGAAACATGCGGATCCAGAAATATGTCATAATTGTTTGCTCTTTTGTCAGGTTATAATATCTACTTGTTAAGATTTTAAGGTGACATCTTAATTATGTGCAGGAACCAGACAAGAGATGAGTTAAAAAAACCCTTTATTAGACTCTATAAAAATTCCCAATGAATAGACTTGATGCCAATAAACTACGTCTCGCACGGGCGGTAACTCAACTAATAAGAATTAAACTTAAAATTCAAAGACATTAACAAAACAGTAGAATATTCCCTAGGGCTCAGATAAGCCTGTTACCTAAAACCACGTCAATGTCTAGTGGCAGCAAAGAAATAGCAATTACGCTACTTTAACCAGCAATAAATGCAGAATAATAAGCTCAAGCTACAGAGGTACCGAGCTTACCCACTCTTTTTAACTTTCTCTTCTAGAACTCAGTATTTAAACCTCATCTCTTAATGGTAGAATTTTCATTCCTTCACGCGCACTACCAAATTTAAATATTCTGGCATTGACAATTACTTGAACTGGGTATTCAAAATAAATATAAATCCCTACAAGGTGTTTTGTAAAGTTGTTATTTTCTAGTTGTTCATTAAGATACGTAAAAGAAATAGGAACAATATTATTCCTATAAAAGGGCTCAAAACTAAATAGAAAAATAATGCCGAAACATCTTAATAATACAGTGTTTGTATATTTATTTCTACCTGAAAATATGAAGCTAGTTAGAGTACGTGCATCCAACTGTAAAACATAACATATATTAATTATTTATTGAAAATATTCGTTATATATAATAAAAGCCCATTTCATAATTATTATCATTATTACTGTCATTTCATAATTATTACTGTAATTTTGATTTAACTCGATAATTGTGCAGGATGGTCTCGGATAGAAAATGATTCAATTTCTCTCCTGCCAACTGTCATCTTGTCACTTTTTTCAGTAATATTATGCTTGTTTAATTCTATCTTGATACTATATAAAATAGTTCGGGGAGACACATCCACTTGAAAAATAATGTGTTTTATTCATTTATAGTTTTAAGACTTTTATTGTCGTGACTCTTAACCAACCCTCTGGTAGACGTTAAGCGACTTAGCGGTAAGTCTAGAAGTAAGTATAGAAACTTGTGAAGGGTGTAAAAGTATTTTTATTTTAAACCAAATAAGATGAACTGAAGGCGCATCTGGTTCTTACATTTTCGCCAGAATTTATTGCGAGAAACTCAAAATAAAAATTCAGTTGTAAAGTTCAATTTAACTAATTAATAGACAAGGCTATTCAGAGTAAATTTTTGCGAAGCTGGCTCGAAAATCACAGGCATGAATTTAAAATAATAGTATAAT